ATAATCATATATATATATATATATATATATATATATATATGATTATTAAAAGCTAAATAAACCAAAGTATTGAAACATTGATGTTAATTTTGACTGTAACTTTACAAAGGGCACCCCATAAAACATTTCTTATCCATAATTTACCTGTACACGAAGAAAACTAGGAGAATAATGAGGGGGGAAATGCAACCCAAGATGATCTTCAAAATCTTCTTGTTACTGTCTGGGATTAAAATATAACCAGATTAAGCTCTGATTCATTCAGAAATAGCTTTATAAAGGAAATCAAACCCCTTGTTAGCTGCATGCTTAAATTAATCAAACAGCACACACTTAGTCTCGTGTCTTTGACTTTTACTCACCATCAAACAGCTTGACTGAGTCAGAACGCGTTTTACCAAGGACATTTTCTGCCATGCAGTAGTACTCTCCTGCTTGGTTTGAGTACACGGTGAGGTTCTGGTGAGAGACTTGTTTGTCCCCTGTCTTATTGTACCAGACAAAACGAGGTGCAGGGTAGCAGTGACTGATGCAACTCAGAGTTACAGATTGTCGTCCTCCAGACAACTGGCGCTCGTTTCCTTTATTAATTGTTGTGCGTTTTGGTGCATCTAAGCAGCATAACAAAGGAAAATAAATTAGTTTTAATATAAGAAAGTACAAGAATAGTACACGTGAGAATGTATACACTGTAAAATCAAATACATGATATATATATATTATGTATTTTTATAAAATAAAACTTCATGCGTTGTATTTTGTTTCAGTTTATAGACCAGAATAAATTAATCTATGCACTCACGTTTGATTTTAATTTCCACTGGCTGGGATTTTTTAGTTCCGATGTAATTTTTGGCTTCACAGCTGTACAGTCCACCATCAGAGAGGCTGGCAGACTTTACAGAGTAGACCATAGAGTTCCCAACGTTTTGATTATTGGTCATTTTCAGCCAACGATATGAAGTTATTGATGGGTACGATCGGCCGTTGCAGATCAATGAAAACGACTCATTTTCTTTCACTTCAAGGCCGTTTCCAACATCTATTTTCACATCCTTAGGAGAATCTGGAATTACATGAGTACAGTTTTAAAAAAGGTTATTCAGTTCAATCTTTAGAAGTTTTTTTTTTTTTTTGGGATATAACAAAAAAAGTTAAATTCTTCAAATTTAACAAACTATTAGGCTGGATGCAAGTTTATAGCGCTTATAAAGCTTATTGAGTTAATAAGTAAAAAAACAGTACTTCACATGATCACAACTTTCATGTTTTTGAACACAAACGGAATGATAACATTATGAAATAAAAATAATTTAAAGATAAATTTTTCAACGTATGAAGCTAAATATATACCGTATTTATCTGACTATAAGACGCACCAAATTATAAGGCGCATTAAGCAGAACTAAAACATTTTGACAGATTTTTGAACACTGTCTTCCACGTAAAATCAGTTTGAGATCAGTAAGCACAACCACAATTGATACATAAAGCGCACTGTAGATGTTTGAGAAAATTAAAGGATTTTGCACTTTATAGTCTGAAAAATACAGTATTCAAAATGTGAGTATTGTGTTGCCATCTACAGGTATACTGTAAATTGCACAATTCTACACAGACTAAATTAAAATTAAAGTATATAGTGTTTTACTATAACTGTTGCACTGAGACTTTACTATTCTATACTTTAGTTAATGTAGTAATGAAGCCATTAGTACTTTTTGCACGTGTTTTACAAGTTTGCACAACTTGATTTTTTAAAATAAAAATAGAAGCCTGCAGATTTTGTTTTGAACTCAACATTGTTTTTGTATTTTACTCAGGCACATTGACATAAACGGAAAGTTCTACTTTCAGATATACTGTCTATTAAAAATGCATTCATCTCCAGATCACTCACATTCAATGTTTAATTTCCTCTTATCGCTTCTGTTTGTTCCTTCACTGTTTGATGCGCTGCAGAAGTAAGAGCCTGCGTGGGCTGAAGTTGCATTAAATGTGTGGGTGAGAGTGTTCTCTTCATTAGCAGGCTGAGAGGAGAAAGAACTGAAGGTCTGTGAATTTGATGATAAAAATTTTATCTGAAAATCTGATGGTGGGAAACTTTCAGCAGTGCAGGTGATCGTGATGGATCGATCCTCCCTAACCGTAGCTGGTAAAGTAAGCCGGACGTTGGTGGGAGGAACTGTGGAGAGAAAACAGCAGTGAGATCAGTTATCAGAAGGATTCAGGTGTCCTGGTACCAACCATCATCACTGAAGTTCTTAAATCCATACATGTATGAAATAATGTATGAAAAAGACAATTTCATCGGACTCCATGTTGCTCTGATGCACATGAGCTGAAGTTACTGATGTAACTTTTTGGCTCCTAGTTCACCCTATTGAAATGTTCAGAGTTATATTTGTTACAACAAAATCAGATTTTGTTAACTTAATACAATTTTAGAGCTTTAAAGTTAGCTGAGTGCAGAGACTCAATCTGCCACTTATCGGCAGGTCATATTTAATACACACAAAATATTTTCTTTTGCCTTTGCAACACCACGTGGACATCGAGGGCAGTGCCACTGGATTGGCAGATTGGGGTGGTGGTTCCCCTCTTCAAAAAAGGGGGACTGGAGGGTGTCCTCCAATTACAGGGTCAATCCCCTTAGCCTCCCTGGTCAGGTCTAGTACTGGAGAAGACAGTCTGATTGTTGGTCGAACCTCAGATCCAGGAGGAACAATGTGGGTTCCATCCTGGTCGTAGAACATTGGAAAAGCTCTTTACACTCACTAGAATCCTCGAGGGTCATGGGAGTTTGCCCAACCAGTCTACATGTGTTTTGTGGACTTGGAGAAGGCGTTCAACCAAGCAGTGCGAGAGTTTGGTTCACATTGCTGGCAGTAAGTCGGACCCCTTCAGGGTGGGAGTTGGACTCTGCCAGGGCTGCCTGTTGTCACCGATTCTGTCCGTTACTTTTATGGACAGAATTTCTCGTTGCAGCCAGGGGGGCGGAGTGTTTCCAGTTCGGTGGCCTCAGGATTCCAGCTCTGTTCTTTGCAGACGATGTGGTCCTGTTGGCGTCATTGTGGCGTGATCTTCAGCTCTCATTGTAGCAGTTCACAGCTGAGTGTGAAGTGGCTGGGATGACCATCAGCACCTCCAAATCTGAGGCCATGGTCCTCAACCAAAAAAGGGTGGATTGCTCTCTTCAAGTCAAGGGTGAGGTTCTGCCTCAAGTGGAGGAGTTCAAGTATCTCAGGGGTTTGTTCATGAGTGAGGGACAAATGGAGTGTGAGATTGGCAGACGGATTGGTGCAACGTCTGCAGTATTTCAGTTTATTTGCCAGACTGTTGTGGTAAAGAGGGAGCTGAGTTGTAAGGTGAAGCTCTCTAATTACCATTCAATCTACATTCCTACCCTCATCTATGGCCACAAACTCTGGGTAGAGACCGAAATAATGAGACTGTGGATGAATGAAATGAGTTTTCTTCACAGGGTAGCTGGACTCTCCCTTAGAGACAGGGTGAGAATTTCAGTTATCTGGGAGAGACTCAGAGTACAACCGCTGCTCGAGTTGAGCCAGATGAGGTGGTTTGGGCATCTGGAAAGGATACTGGGCGCCTCCCTAGGGAGGTGCTTTGGGCATGTCAGACTGGGAGGAGACCCTGGGGAAGACCCAGGACACGCTAGAGAGACTATGTCTCCCGGTTGGCCTGGGAACGCCTTTGGGGTCCTCCCAGTAGAGCTGGAAGAGGTGGCTGTGGAGAGAGATGTCTGGGCCTCCCTGCTCAAGCTGCTGCCCCCGAGACCCGACTTCAGAATAAATAGAAGATGGATGGATGGATGGATGGATGGAATATTTTCTTCCAGGTTTTTAAAAACTTGTAAAAATGGCCAGATCTTACCTGCGGGCCTTAAAATGACACGTTCTTTAAAGAATTAAAATGACTCAAACAACATACTGTTACTTACAAAGGACTTGTATGCACTTTGGGGGACTTTTCCCTCTACCAACGCTGTTGGTTGCATTACACTCATAACATGCTTCATCTTCTTTCTGAACTGGATTCAAAGTTAGAATTTTTTCTTTTCCCATCCATTTCCAGTTTGAGCGGTTCGGCTCTCTGTAACTGTACCATGAGTATTCTGGTTCTGGATGTGCTTCAGTGTTACAGGTTAGTCTGAGACAGCTGTTGAGTTTTACTTTGTTGTCAGCGGCTCCCTGTACGGAGATGCTGCTCCTTGGTTTGTCTGGATACAAAAGATAAAAAAAAAAAGTCTCGCAGTCCATCTTTAAGCTTTACGGCACAGATGGATGTGAAACTTACATCGAACCCGAAGCTCAGATTTGGATGTACCAGAACCCACAGAGTTTTTGGCTTCACATGAATAGGAGCCACTATCCTCTGGTTTTATCTTCGGAAAAACACGTGTTGATCCTCCACCTAGACGCTTATCATCTTTTTTCAAAGTCAAGGTAGCTTGTGGCTTGCTTCTGATCACATTACATTCAAGAGTAATCCAGTCTCCTTCTTCGATGTGACCAGAGCTTCTTCCAGGAGACTGATTTCTTATTGTCAGTTTAACTTCAGGGGCATCTGCAATACATAAATAAATCTTCTAAACATCTATTTTTATAGTTATTTCTGTAAATCACTCTCAAAACAGTTCTGTCACTGTAATAAATATTCACATTAAACAGCAAATTTACACATTATAATAAAATAATATCACAAACACCACAGTGAGGATCTGACATTGAATTTCTTTGGAAAATTGAGGATGTTAAAAATACAAATGAAGTCGTACTCACACAACACATCGATGTATATTGTGTTCGACTTTGCAGTGCCGTAGACATTCTGAGCTTGACAGAAGTAAGATCCACTCTCCGATTCCTGAATGAATGGGAAAGTCAGCTCAGCTCCAGAGGTTTTGTGTGTAGTGTCTTTGAACCAGCTGAAGGTAACATTAGGGGAACCTTTGGCTGAACATGTGAGAGTCACTGAATCGCCCACCTTCACGCGTTTAAGGTTTATTGTAGCCTTTACGTCTTTGGGACCATCTGTTTCCAACAAAATCAGGACAAAAACAGAGAACTTAATCTTTGCACAACTAAATTAATTTCTCAATTTAAACATATTGAACAAAAGAATCTTATTTTGATCCTAGATAAGTGATTTTTTTTTTTTTTTAATTCAGTGTGTCTAGCAGTTAAATACCATTATTTAAGTTAAGTAAAGAAAAACAATTAACAGATCAGAAGATGTATATTTTAGTAATTATCATTTAATATATATTTAAAAAAAACCTTCTAGAGACATACGTTAGATTCATGGACTTACGTTTTACAGTCAATGTGACTTTTCTCATCAAATGTTTGTCAGTTTTGTATTGTGTTTTGCATGAAAACACGCTCCCATCATACGTCCATGTGGCTGTAAAACTGTGAGTGACTTCAGATGTTGCGGTTCTGCGAATGCTGGAACTTACGGGCTGTTGCATTGAATCATATATTTGTAGGATGGAAGAACATGAGTTTATTGTAGAGCAGACGAGTGTCACTCTGTCATATTCCATCACAGAAGCTGATTCATTAAAGGTAATAGGGCAGGGATTATCTGCAAAAAAATAAATAACCAAACAAGCAAATAAATAAATATATATATATATATATATATATATATATATATATATATATACTCCTTAGATAGAGAACTTTACTCATTGGCTTTTATGTATGTGAATGTTCCTGTAAAGTGCCCTGAGACAACTTTGTTGTGATATTTTTGTTCATTAGGATAAAGAAATACTTTTTGGTTCCAGGAAGGAGTTTTTTAACAAAGCAATATTATCGCGTCAGATTCAAATTTAAGTAAAAAAAAAAAACACAAGATGATTTTAAATTCATCCTAAGAATGTTTTTAGGACTTTGTGATCTTTGTGACTTCATCATGAAGCTCACTCACATCCAAACCAAGGAGTTAGAGCTGTATGTTAACCTGATTTTTTTTGTTCAGGTTGCTCATTATTATTATTTTTTTGGTAAGATTTTGACTCTGAAACTGGTTTTAGCAAAACATTTCTTAGCTTTATGTTAGAAGTAAAATCCACATTTTTTTGCTTCAGTGTTGACTTAAATCCGGACATTAAACTGGACTTTTCAAAACTTTAAAAGTTATTAAAAAAAAAAATAAAAAAAAAATATATATATATATATAAATTCTTTCTAAATACATGTTAATTTTTGTTTGAGCTTACCTGTAATTTTCAGGATTGTTGGAGGGTTTGTGACCCATTTAAAATTTTCACTAATGTATCTGAGCTGATAGTTTCCACTGTCTGTTTTATTCAGGTCACAGATCAAAATACTGCAGGACTGGCTGCGTGAATACTTCCACCAATTTGTTGTTGGAGATCCTGTGTAGCTCACTCTGTTCTTAAACTGTGGACTGACAGGACGTTTGGACTCATTTGTGCTGTAAATGATTGTAGCTGTATAGGCTTTATCCTCATCAGCATAAACGCCGTCTTTCATCCAAAACCAGTGAGCAGTATCTGAAACTTCCACAGTCCTTTCCACTCTGCATTTGATTTCAACACAAGACCCCTCCGTAGCTGTTAAAAAGTGATTTTCCAAAGTGAATAAGCTTTCTGTGTTACAAGAACAATCTGCTGGAGAGAGAAGACAAATAAAAATGTCAGTTAATGAATTTTGATTTATTTAGTAAAACAGTTTTTTTTAGTGTCACTGAGTAAAAACAAAAAATTCACAGAAACATTACTGGTACTTACTTATTATTAGAGTTAATAATAAAAACCATTTCACTGTGTCAGGTTTCATTTTGGCGTTTCTCTGAAATTCCTTTCTCTTCTTTTTTTAAACCGTTATCAGATGAACACACATATTTCTGTCTTCATTTCAAGATGAACCCATCGCTGGATTTATTCTTACTCACTGTAAATAAAAGGGTTTTAGTCACAAACAAGCAGTAAAATAAAAATCTTAGGAAAACATTTTGGCATATAGGAAAGGAATCAATTCTTGTAAACAGTTGTACATGGTGATAATTATTTTTATAACATCACAGCTCAAACTAAAAACTCTGCCATGTGGTTTGTAACAATTAAATTAGATTTTCTTTTATGATGAAGAAGAAGATAAAATGGAAGAGTATGACTTCTTCTTTTTTATGCTTAATCAGCCATGCATTCAGGGAAAACTGACGCAATTTTCTGTTTTCAGATTGACAGCAACAGAAGTCTATTTTTGTTTTACGCATTGAGTCATTTATTGTGATGATGAAAAACATACGGATATATTACTTTTGATACAACATACATCATTAAAACACAGCTTTAAAATTTTGACCAATTGTAACATAGCTTTTTGTTTGTCTCCTTTTTTTCAGGTAGTAAATTCAGATCATATTTTTTATTTTAACCTGCACTTGTGTCAGCATGACCCATGGGTTATTTGAACCCAAGAAGGTTAAAACAATCTGAACAGAAAGCTAGATATCTCTAACACAGACTTAGATGTATTTTTTAGGGTTTAAACACTTTATTTTTGACTAAAATCTTTTTTTATATAAACAAAAGTAATTTTTTCATACCTCAGAAGACTTTACTTCTGGTAGCGTGCAGCCCTTTTCCCTCCCAAAGCAAAAACAAGATTTTTGATAAAAAAGGAAGTTTAACAGTTCACAGAACCAAGATTTGCATCTGCAAGCACCCGAGTGGGCGAACACCAAATCGTTAATAGTTCTGCGATAATAAAATATTATTTTTTTTGTCGTGCTCGGACGCGTTCATTGAACCGCCTCTCACTTCCTGTATTGAAATCTTTATCACTGAAAGCTTCAGGTCAGGGTGGGTGAGGTCTCATTTACGGGCAAAGAGAAACTTATGGTACTAAATTAGTTCAGATTTATGTTATTTGCAATCTTCTTTCCAACACTGAGTGAACAAATACTGTTTCAAAGTATTTTATCTATTTTGCAAGTATAGAAGTGAGGCCTCAGTGCAAAGAGACAGGAAACACAAACAACAACAAAAAAACCCATTTCTGAACTCATTTCCCCTCTCCCAGAGCTGCCGCCACTATCTTCTCAGCATCAGCAGTCATCTCATCAACAGCACCGTTCAACGTCTGCAGCATCGCCGTGAAGGAGCGGCCGGCAGACCGAGCGTGTCGAGGCATCGCCATTTCCAGTAACTTTGACGAAACCGTAGACAATTCCTTCTCCGCCGCTGCGAGCCGTCTTTTCACTTCTCCTTTGGTGACCTCCACTGACAGCGCACAAGTTCTCAGTCTTTTCAGAACTGCTGCCTCTAGGTTTCTCTGCCGGGCCAGTCGCTCAACCGATTCATCATCCAGGCACAGAGATAACTGTGCTTTTGTCAGAATCCTCACGGCTATGCTCGAGTCCACCATGGATGCTACAAGTGGAACGGGAATGGCTGACATCCCGCCAGATAGAGAAGCAGCTGCCCAGATGAGGGCTTTGAATGCCTCCTTTTTCTGGGTGACCAGTGTTGGGGTGATAGCTGGGAGGGCCAACAGGAGGGCGTGAGCTCGGATCTCTGGAAGGTCTTTACTCAAGTCCACCAAGAGATCAGGGAAGTCAAGCTTCTCCAGGGTGGACGGTCTGACCAGGAAGACTTTCGGTTGTTTTACACCCTGTGAATTTAGCACTTCCAGAGCAGCTTTCCTCTTGTCTTCCAGGTTCTTCTCTGTGTCTTTGACAGAACATAAGAGAACAAAGTAGACAGTTTGTCGTTGCAGAGAACGAGCCTCCAAGAAAACCTCCACACTGTTGGGTTGGAGCTTCTGGGTGAACGTCATGAAGACAGCATTGTAACGGAGGAGCTTCAATCTGCTCATGTATCCCTCTGGTTCAAATGGGGACGTTGTGGGGACAGGTGGCAGATCCCACAGGCGGAAGTCAGGGTGTTTGGGGTTTGGGTAGCCAGCCACTTCCTCCAGAGCAAAGGGAGACGGAGATGGAGCTGCGCCCTCATCATCAGGTCCGAGGCCACGAAGGGAGTTGATGAAGGAAGCTTTTTCATCTCCACGGTCCCCCAATACAGCCAAGTTGATCCTGCTGATGAGGAGATCCTCCACTGCGTCCTTCACATCTGACAACTTGTTGCTTTCTATGGACTCTTTGAGGGTTTCTAGGAGGCTCAGGCTTCTGAAGACATCAGCCATTCCTACAAGGAAGCAAAGATGGAAGTCTATAAATGTGAACGTTTAGGGTTTTTAAAATCTGAATGATTTATGTCAAAATAGGGACATTAGATTTTTTTTCTCAAACCACTATCTTGATTTTTTAGGACATTTTTACCAATTCATTTGTGTTACGTTCTACCCAACTTCAAATCATTTGATGTAGTTAACACTTATCTTGGGAAATACATACTGTACATCCTATATATTTCTATTGATACAATTTTAATACAAATCCATGCATAGACAGATTACATGTAAATTTTTGAGTAAGAGACTAATTTCGCTAATATATTGTTTCAGTAAATATTTTTAAGAAGAATATATTTAAAGTTTTCAAAGGTTCTCCGAACATGATCAATGATATTCTCTGAAGATCTTAAAACAATTTCATAAAATGATCTGGGATGTTTTGGTGAGTTGCTGCAAAAATTCTAACAAAGAAATGGACATTTTACTGCAGTTCTACATGTGTGACACATCAACTAATGGTCCCCAGGTCCTCTGCACCTTATCTAACGATCCATGTTAAAACTGCAATGACAAAGTTTTATTTTAATAAAGTTAAACAGGCTCACCTGGGTGTCCAGAGCTGAAGCAGCTGGCAGGTTGAAATATTTTACTGAATCGTCTGCAGCTCCTGCAGGTTGATCTATTTAAAGCTCGTCAGCTAGTGGAACTTTCTAATCCTGTTGGTTAAACCTTAATCTAATCTCAGGTAAATCTCATACCATGTGTGTGCAGTTAAACCACCTACTTGTTTATTTACACTGATTGAACAAGTACAATTTCATCAATTACGGAATCACTGTACAGCTTTCATTAAAGCTGCAAAACAAGATTACTATTTCTCTCAGACCACCAAAGATCTGAATGACCCAGTGTGTCTGGCAAACCATCACATCTCTTTCTGGCAGCTCTCACTCCTCTGATCTGCCATCCCAATTATTTGTTGACTCTGTGCCTGTGTCAAATAAGTAAAAGATGCTAAGTTGTTTCAACAGATATTTTGTTGCCTCCAGTTCCTTATTTGATATGTTTTTATGGTAAATCATCTACTTCTCCTACAAGTCGCACCACAGTAGCATACCTTCTCATTTCCCCGTTCTCTATTAGTGGGGTTTCTAAAGTGTTAAAAGGTCTAGAATATATCTTATGCCATAAGCTCTCAGATATTGAACATTGTTGAATTTCATTACCTGGATTATTAAGCATGAACTTTGATGTCTTGAACCACTTTGGCTAGGGTTGCCTGGGGGAGTCGACGGGGGAGAGGACGGCCCCCAGAAACCATCTTATCACCAGCAAACTGTTTGGTCCATTGTAGGAGTGTACTGCTTGGTGAGGAAAACAGTTTGTATTGACTTCTCAGATTGGTGAAGCCCTTCAGATGGAGGCCAAAACGTCTCTCAACAAAAAAAAAGGAGTTTCCAGATGACGTGACTGAACATTGTTGGATATCTTTACCTGGATTACTGAGCATGAACCTTGATCCCTCAGATATTGGTTTCTCAGATCACACTGTTGGTTGGTTGGTTGGTTGGCTCTCTCTCTCTCTCTCTCTCTCTCTCTCTCTCTCTCTCTCTCTCTCTCTCTCTCGCTCTCTCTCTCTCTCTCTCTCTCTCTCTCTCTCTCTCTCTCTCTCTCAGATTGGAGGTAATGTGTTCAACACAATGGTACTTCATTTAGCTCTTTAATGGTCACTAATGGTGTGCCACAGGGCTCAGGTCACTAATGGTGTGCCACAGGGCTCAGTTTTAAGACCCACTTTTTTTTTCTTTTTTTTTTACAATTTACACAAGCAATTTATAGGTCAAATAATTCCTGATGCCCCCTTGCATCTCTATGCTGACAATACAATTGTTTATTGTCAAGCTAACACATCTGACAAGGTTTTCCAGCTTCTACAGTCTCTGCATTTGACATCATTCAGTCAGACTTGTTCTGTCTCAAACTGGTGCTAAATTCTGATAAAACCAAGTGGATGTTGTTTTCAAACAGAAAGACGTTCCCAGCAGTTCTTCCCTTTATCTCATCTATGCATCGTGTTCTTATTGAGTTTGTGGATTCTTACAAATACTTGGGAATTTTGGTTGATGCGCATCTCTCTTTTAAATCACATAATGAAAACCTGTGAAAGAAACTGAATTTGAAACTAAGTTCATTTTTCAGAATCAGATCTTGTTTAACTCTGAATGCCAGGAAACTGCTTGTAGCTGCCACTTTCCTAGTAGCTATCGATTATGGTGACATTATTTACATGAATGCCCCTGCCAGCTCACTGCAGATGTTGGAGGCTGTCTATCATGGTGCGCTAAGATTCATAACTGGTTGTAACTACCGTATCCATAACTGCACTCTGTACTCATTGGTCAGTTGATCATCATTATCTTCATGTAGGCTCTCACACTGGTTCATTTTCATCTATAAATCACTCCTTGGTCTGCTGCCTTCATACATCTCCTCTCACATCTCACATCGTCAGTGCAGTTACAGCGTGCGCTCTCAGGCCACCATTACCTGCAGCGTTCCCTCAATGTGAACTGAACTTGGCAAAAAGGCCTTTTATACTCTGCTCCCGCAACGTCCACTTTGATTTCTTTAAGGGATTTTGATAGTCAATAGAAAAATCTAAGCGAATATGTTCTTGTTTTCAGTATTTTACCTTGTTTTATATGGCACTTTGACTTTGTTGTTTTTATTACTATTGTTTTTAGCTGCTTTTATTGTTGTATATTGTTGTTTATCGCACTATATATGTTGTCTGTCCTAAACAGGTCTCTCTTGAAAATGAGTCCGCATGTCTGTACAGTTTACATTATTGCTGTTAGATGTTATCTGTGTTACTGTGTAAACCCTCACTGGTAAATACATATCTACAGCAAATAATGTACAATTCTTCAACAAAATGGACAGTCTGACATGAAATAACTCATTTTAAACCTTCAATATGTTCATGAATGAGCTCAAATGCAATTTAAAGGTAAACTGACTCAATTAATCCATTCATAAGATGCAGCTTCAAATTTTGTCTTACCCGTGTAATGACAAATTAATACAAAATATAAATAGTTTTAGATGTAGCACATTGAAAAACCAAAAAAAGCAAACAAAAAACACAATTTTCTTTCACTGAACACAATGCTGAAGATAAAGTTTGTACGTTGTAAACATTAAATGAATAGATTTTATTGTGTAATTACATTTGATATAATAATAATAATAATTAATATGATAGTAAAGACCAGTTTGTCTGCCTCAACCCACTTTTAGTCATGAGTTAATGCACAAAAATATCTTTCTGAAGGTTTGCTTTTCATTTACAGTAAAACTTCTTACTTTACTAGTCTATTTTAAATAAAGGGGAATAAAGTTATGGAGACACGCTCTGGTGTTTAAGAAGCCTTTAATGTGTCGCTCAGAGTTTCACTTCACTCCGTTAAGAGGAACCAAGAATGCAAAACATGTAACATCTGCTCAGGGTGTCAGATCTTATTTAAGGTTCTCGTCTTTTCACACACAGATTTCTTGTCAAGTTGTCGGGAGACAGCAAATCTTTTTGAGAACTGTTTTCTCTTTAGTCGTAGTAGTTTACAGTGAATTTAAAACAGTCATATTGCTTTATTTTATTTTTTTTTAAACACACGCAATAGATGATCATTTTGCATAAATGTGGGGCACAGTTCCTTTGAAATGCAAAAAATATATATATCATAATCAAGTCAACGTGAACTGTTTCCTGCTCTTTATGTAGCACATTTCATGTTAAGAAAATATGTGTTTTATCATTCTTTGCCTGTAGACTTTAGGCTTTTTGACAACAATATGTAAACAAATCAAAATTAATCACAGCCATACTTTCTTAGCTCTGGTCAATTTGCTCCTTCACAGTGGAGTACACAGCTACATCTTCACCTTCAGGCACTTCTTGCACATCGAGTCTCAGCTCCTCTTCCTCTTTGTCCTCATTTGCCTGTGTTTTTTTTTCTTTTAACTTAATTTTTGCATACATGCACTTTGTATCTTCACTCTCTTGTTTCTTCCATTTCGTCCCCGTTGATGTATTTTTCTTCAACATCAACAGTTTAATATCGGAGTACTCTACATCTGACCCTCCAGCTTCAGCCTCTTCAGCTGCTCCAGCTGTTCCTTCAGCCTGGATCTGTTCATATTCCATGACTCGGCCATCATTTGTCTGGAGGTGAAGAATGCAAATAATATTAGTTAAAGTTAAGCTGCAGACAATCTGTTACATATCACAACATAAATTAAATTTAAAGGCTAAATAAAAGGGTTTTTAGACAACCTAAATTAAAACACCAATTTTAATTTGGCCATGGCCTGCAGTTGTGCATTTTAGCCACTAGATGTCGCCAAAGTGACTTAAATGTGCTGAATAAATAAAAACACAAACCATCTCCAGAGTCTCAGTGGTACTTTCTTTAGCCTGCTGTTTTTTCCTGGGGAGACATCTTAAATATAAAATGTCAAACATTAAACTTAATGATAAACCGAAAATAAAATGTTTACCTGTAACAATCACTGTAATGCTATTATTGGCCCAGTGTTTTAATTACCAAATAATTTACTTCTGTCAATCTATCAAAGTATAAATTTACATATTTGGTTGTTTTATAGTTAAAGTTACTCTGTGCAATGTTATAAAGACCGGGGAAAAAAATGATCATAAAGTAAGAAACAAATCATGCACTTGTTTTCTCCCCTCATGTTGAAAGTTATTGTGCCTCTAAAGTCAAAGTTTGTAAGCAAAAATTGTGAACAACTGCCAACAACTATGCATTTTTTAAAAATCTATTTAAAGAGCAAAGTGAATAAAAATAGGACAACAATCACAATGTCTATAGAAAAACTGACAGTTTGGACATATTGGTAGATATTTATGCTTAGGCTTGTTGAGTAAAGTATGCAAATATGTTTTTTAAACAGTCTAAATCAAACTAAATGGGATGCATTTCACCTGTTTTTCATTTTTATTATGTTGTTGAAAATATAACCAAGATGATAAATTGGTTTGGGCACACTACTAAAATCTACTCTTCAAATATTTCACACCAAATTGTGTTGTTGTAGAAAAGCCGACCCTCATCTGGCCTGATCAAATAATAGGCCATTTATTAGCATCATGGACTGGAGATAAATTACAATTGAAGATATAAACTTTCCAAGTGTTAGAGTTTAGAAAACTTAAGAGTCCAGCAGGGGTTTTATCAGACGCTGTGTTTGAATACTGAGCTCAGTCATTATGGTGCTCCACTGCTCTGCTAAAGCTCAATATTTATTACTGACAATTGTCTTAATCTTTCTCTTTTCTTTCACATTTAGCAGATTCATTCTTCAAACAACTCAATTTTATTCTAGTCTGCTTCCGCCATATTTGTTTACCCACACGGGCCTACGAGCAGCCTGACGTAGGTCAGTCGTGTGGTTTAAGCCTCAGATTCAGCCGAGTGCTTTGTTTACTGAACACACACCCGCTTCAAACTGCACTGTTTAATCTGGCTTGGGATAGATTTTTATTTTATGGTTTGCGATGAGCACCTTTTAAGATACACATAATAAATGTCATGCATAAACAAAGATATTCATGAAAAACATGAACCGTTCGGTTACCTGCAGCACAGCATGAACAAACAGAAAATAAGAGCTGAAAGTAACGTTCCAGCCAGGAAGGGAACAGCTGTTCGAAGCTGGGTGACCGTTCTGAACAGTTTGCTGATTCGGCCTACAATAATAAAAAGAAAAAAAGGTTAATAAAACTTGACAGTAGTTCAGAAAGGCTGTTTTAAATTATTTACCAATCTTCAGTTATGTTACCTTCTTCATCCACTTGTTTTATAACGAGAATCTCTTTTGTTTCCCCGTTTTCATTCCCGCTGACACACACAGCTGGACGCCAGCTGTGGTGGGTAACAGTGAGGGTGCTTTTGACAGTGTGATTTGACACTGCAGTATGAAACGAGTACTCGGTTTGGTTCTCTGACAGCAGCCATTTGATGGTGGGTAAAGGAAGCCCCTGACTGATGCACACGCAGGTCAGAACGTCCAACTGAGCCTCACACACCGACTCTTTCAGGATCTGAGGGAGCACTGCACGGAGGCAGGAGAGTAACATCAAAAACACTGAAGAGTAAAGGATGACAGAACCATACAACACTACTTTCTGAACCATTTCCCTTAGAGGGATTTGTAGGTTTCTTGTCATTGCATCAAAATAGAGTTTGAAATTGTGTTTACGTTGAATTAACCACCAAACCTTCCACACGTTCTACTTGTGATTTTATTCTGTCATGGTAAAACATTTCAAGCGCTTGCAATGCTTCTTGGAACATGTACTATTATTATGTTGATATTTATTTTAATCGGTAAAATAAAAACCTAAATTTAATTTAATTAAGTCAGTGCAGGACTGTTGAGGTCACAAATATACTTACAGTAGTAAGCGTAAGCAATACTGTTTTATAACTCCATGTTTTTGTGGGTTGAAAAAAATAAAGTTCAACCAGTATTTTGAAAAGGTGAAATGATGCTGATCTGTGTCTTCTGTTCTTTTATAACGCTTTCTGTCAGTGCTTTAAGAAGCTCTTGTGCACGTGAGAGATCTGGATAATTACAACGCTTGAAGTCCAGACCAAAGTGAATGTTGAATATAAAAATAAAGAAGCTAAATCTTCTAGTTGACAGAACAACAGGTTCAGTAAAATAAGAATAATATGCCCTATTTATAATATTTTCTTCCCAAAAGTTAGATTTCTAAAACATCTAATAAAAATGACAAAAGTCTTGAAGAGCAGCTACGATTCATGCTTACTCTTCACTTTGATGTCGACTTCGTCCATGAGAGTGTTGTCCAGATGTTTCGCTGTACATCTGTACAGTCCACTGTGCTCAGCTGTCACATTATAAACGATGAGTGAAGTTGCTCCGGTGCCGTTTTGTAACGTTGTGTTGAACCGAAGCTCAGTCCAGGTGATGACGGCCCGAGGCCAGCTGTCAACCCTGCAGGCCAGCTGCAGAACCCGACCCTCCGTTACAACCGTCTCTCCGGTAATTTTCAGGCTCCTCCGATCTTTAGGACGAGCTTTAAAACACATTATTTGAAAAGAACTTAAAAGTTTGGACACGTTCATTTATTTATGTTTCATGAAAGCATTATGTTTGGACCTAGTTTTCCACACAACGTTTTGTATTTTAGCTTGTTTTTTGTGAACTAAATGATGACATTCTCTCCGTCATATGTTGTTACTCATCTGAGGTTGTATATACAACTGTTATAATGTCCTAATTCCATAAAATACATTAGAGCAGAAAGAGAGTGTCATAGTTTTAATATTGCTGGTTATTATACTAAATGAAACTAAATGTTTCTGTCAGATTAAAGACTTTAAATCTCTTTAACAAAATCTAACACAGTCAAGTCAGGTCCTCTGGACGGATTCTTCTTTGTTGAAACGTTTTGTCTTTTGTCCAAAAGTCGTCTTCCGTCTGAGGAGCTGCAACAAACTCAGTCTTATAAAAATCACCTTCTCACAGTGGATCAACCAGTTTGCTGGTGACATCCAGAACTATCATGATCTGTTGGTTTTGTTGGACTCAAAGTGCACACAGAACTCAGAAAGCTCAAAGTAACGGTATAAATTAATAATTTACTTAGATAAAAAAAGAAACAAAGGCTGACGTGGCAGCAAAACTTAAACTTGTTAGCACAGAAGAGGGAGAACAGAACACGATGACACAAGGGATACTCGGAACAATAAGGAAACGCACAATACATAGAGCGACTAACGAGAGGTAGAGTTGTGATTTCTGACCCGTGCCCAACCTGACCTGAAGGTCGGGCCAAAATGATGGGCTTGATGGGCGGGTCGGGTCGGTCTCGGGCTTTTGATGAGGTTTTACGAATCGTAGAGCACAAAGAAAACTAAATAGGAATGCACAATATAAAATTGTGCTAATCGACTTGTAGAGGAGGAGGCAGTAAGTTTACATGTTGAGAGGATGAGGAAAGAAATAAAACAGAGGGCAGAAGGTCAAGGTCAAGCTTTCTTTATTGTCATTCGCAGCACATGTGGTGCATGTGGTGGAACGAAATTGTGTACACGGGGTCCCAGTTACATCCAACAAAAGTATAAAATGTAAAAGAAAAACAGTACTAAGATCTAAGATATGAACAAAGAAATGTGCTAAACTAAGAATACACTAAGTACTAATAGTACAGAAACAATACACCGAACAGCAGCACGAAGTTCATCAGACTGTGAAAAGAGAGAGTAGCGCTGGCGCATTGCACAACAATTGTGAATGTGGCCCCGCCCACTCTGCTTTGCTCCTCTTATCACACAGATTAGGATTTGAAATTAACCCACAACAAGTGACATATTGGAACTGGAAAGTATTAAACAAAAGCTAAAAACAGGAGAACTCACTCTACAAAGCCAGAACAGTGCAACCTGCTGATGTGTCAGGCTCAGGTCTGACTGGCCAGCTGAAAGAGGTAAAACAAACTCTCCCATTAAGTTCCCGATGGATCACCAGATCATCGGCTGCGTGTGTCCACTGACTGGAGGTTGAAAGGTAAAAAACTGTCCCCTTCTTTCAATACTGTTATTGTTAGTGTCACTCAGCCTTCTGTGAATAGCAAGCAGCCACCAGGGCATTAACTATTATTAGGCTGATGGTCCTCCTTTATCACGTGAACAGCTAGTTCTGGCTGTCACCAGCAAACTGGTTGATCCACTACGAGCAGTTGCTGTTTATGAGGCTGAGACGAGCTGGTCTGGGAACCTCAGTGCTCACCTCCTTCTACTGGTGTGCAGTGGAGAGCATCCTGTGCTCCAGCATCAACGTGTGGCATGGAGGCTGCACAGCTGCAGAAAGAAAAGCTCTGCAGAGAGTGGTGAAGGCTGCACAGAAGACTGTTGGAGTCAGTCTCCCCAAGATCACAGACATCTACACCTCCAGATGCAGGAAGAGAGCCACCTGCATCAAGAAGGACCCCACTCACCCAGCACACACACTTTTTGCCCCACTCCCCTCAGGAAGGAGGTTGAGGAGCATTAAGTGTAGAACCATTAGACTGAGGAACAGCTTCTACCCTGAGGCTGTTAGACTCATGAATATCTAACCAGAATAATCACTGGGAAATATCACATCATGTTGCTGCTGATCTGTTTCATGTTGCTGCTGATCTGTTTCATGTTGCTGCTGATCTGTTTCATGTTGCTGTGTTCATGCGTGCTCATCTGCTCACACAGACTCATGTTCGTGCTGCTGTTCGACATATTGTTTTTATGCTATTTGTGTTTAGCGTATTTTTAGTTAATGTTTTTCTTAGTTCATATCTTAGATCTTATTACTGTTTTTCTTTTACATTTTATTGTTGGATGTAACTGGGACCCTGTGTACACAATTTCGTTCCACCACATGTACCACATGAGGTGCGAATGACAAATAAAGAAACTCTGACTTATTGCAGCTCCTCAGACTGAAGAAGTCTTCTGGATAAAAGACAAAACGTTTCAAGAAGAAGAATCCGTCCAGAGGACCTGACTTAAGTTTGTTAGATATTTTCCTGGATTAATGAGCATGAATCAGGATGCTCTTTTATAAAATTGTATGTTTTAAAGCTCATAATGTTAGGTGGTTGTTACTATTTAAAGACAAAAAAGAAGGATATCTTAAAGCCAACCATTTAAAAAGAGAAAATAAAACTTTTTTTTTTAAATATTTAAGTACGATTGTTAGGTTTACTTACAGATCACACTTATGTTAACGTCTTGAGTCAGGGCGGTCAAGTAGTGTGCTGTGCAGAAATATAGTCCAGAGTCTTCTACAGTCACATTGTGAATAACTAAACTAGATGATCCAGAGTCAGGTCCAGCTTGAGTTATCAGAGAGTTGCCATGTTTAGTCCACATGACGATCGATGGAGGGAAGCTGTCAACAGTGCAGGTCAGGTTCACGGTACCACCTTCCTTAACTGTTGTACGTCCACAAACCTTTAGCTTCCTCACATCTTTAAAAACAGACGTCAGAATGAGCTCAAACTAATATCAGGCTATAGGAAAACACGAGAAAACAATATGCATGAGAACACTTTACAGCCTTACATTTTACTTGTACATCCACTTCTTGAGTCAGGGTGCTGTTCAGGTGTTCTGTTGAACAGACGTACCGTCCAGAATGTTCTGCTGTCGTGTTGGGAATAAAAAGCGTGGCCGCTCCAGTACCGTTGGTCACGGTTGAGTTGAAGCCAAGTTTGGTCCAGGTGATAAAAGATGGAGGCAAACTGTCCAAGCTGCAGGTCAGATTGAGAGAACGGCCCTCCGTTACGTCCTTCTCTCCAGTGATTTGAAGTTTCTTCTTGACTTTAAGACAGGATTTAAACAGAATTTGTAAGTAACCACTTGCATTGTTGTAAACACAACGTGCCGTCTCAGAATATGCATGTAAAATATTCATGCAACACGAATTTAACATGGGGGCATGGTCAGCGAGTGATTCTCATTTTAACTTACTTATCACAGTAATTTTAACGTCCTGTGTCAGGCTGCTCGGATGTTCCACTGCACAGGAATACTGTCCCGCGTTCTCTACTGTCACGTTGTGAATGATGAGAGCAGGTCCCGTTTCTGTGCTCAGGGTTTTGTTGATGCCTTGTTTGGTCCACTTGGTGACAGATGGAGGGAAACTCTCAGCAGTGCAGGTCAGATTCAGAGCATCGCCCTCCACAAGTGATGCTTCGCCACTGATTTCTGGCTTCTTCACATCTTTTAAGACAGGTGTTTGAAAAGGTTAAAATATGTTATTAAAATGTTTTTTCTCATGTCCAACTTCTAGATTATTTTAACCATTTTCTCTGTTCACATGATTTTACCGATGACTCTTTAGTCCCATCAGTCTAAATTGTTGAACGTGTGTCTCCCTCTGCTGGCAGCAGTAGGTAATTGCACAAACATATTCTACATGCATGAAAGAACAGATACTCGCATGCACAGGTTGTGAAAGTGTGACTGTTTGGATCAGATTGTGCAGCTTTGTTTCAGTGTATTAAGTTGAACTCACTTAACAGAAAATAAAAACAAACTTTTAGCATTATACGACAGATTTAAGGACTTGTCCTTGTCACTGGCGTTTCAACTTTCTTTACAGCTTCCAAGAAAATCTGTTAATAACTCTGAATTTACCAAGCACCTCACAGTCTTAAAAAAAAAAAGAGTCCAATGATCGCTTTTAAAATTAAGGCAAAACCTTTACAAATTCCCTACAATGCAAAAACGAGTTGCAAACAGGACATTGAGTTTGGAAAACACTCCGCAAAGGAAAAGAAAGTTCAGTAAAACAACATCTGGTTATTTGTAATAGGTAAAAAGCTTTAGGCTACAATTCCAAGCATAAAATTAATTTCATGATATAATCCCTCCAGATGCATGACTTGTTGTTCCTGTTGAGTCAGAACTTTAACAGTAAGTGTAATAAATAAATAAAAATAAAGCACATTTACTCACAGGTTACATTCAGAGTCACTGTCACTTCTGCAGATGTGCGGTTTGAGCAGGTGACCTGACAGCTGAGCGCAGTGCCATGATGTTCAGCTGAAGGGTTAAATATCAGAGCTGAGTTTGAGCTCTGAATTTCTGTCTTATTTCCTGCAATGGAAGAGCTATTTTCTCCTGGATGGACCCAGATCCAGGTGAACTCGGGGTTAGATTGAGGACCAGAGCAGGAATCGGGAGCTTTACAGGTCAGAGTGGCCTCCTTTCCTTCTGTCAGAGGAGGAATCGTTAATGTGGGCTTTGCTCTCAGACCTGCAGAGCATGCAAACACACAGCAGTGAGACCTTCTGACATAGAACATTATTATACAAAGGTATAAATCTAATATTCTTCTATTTATGGTAAACATTTTAAAGAGGTAAACAGAGTGTGGGTTATCTAAGTGTTGTTGAGCTTATTGTCTAAAATCCTGGATGATTCTGTTCTATTTTTTGTCAAATCCGTTTCATAAACGTGCTGTTTGGATGCTGCTCGATTTATCAACATCTTCAGAGTCACTCTGAGTATTATGCCTTTAGAAGTTCAGGAATATTTCATTTTTGTAACAACCTGCAGTTTGTACCTGAGCTGGAGCTGATGTCCGTCGCTGTGAAGAGCAGAGCCGTCCAGATGAGAAGAAACATTCTGACTCGGTGAACTAGAGGTCCGGTCACTTTCTGATCAACAGTAAAAACTGCAGTAAATATACAGGAGGTCTGGCTGATGGAACGGAATGAGGAACTGCTTCTCAGCTGTGAACACAGATGTTAACACAGGATGTTACTTGTTCATATAATGTATACTGATGTTCATTTTGACTTCTGCAGTCGAGTTAAGAAAAGCTTCTCAGAGGAACATATCTGGAGCTTTTGTTCTTTTGTTGACTAATATCAGCCGCTACATTTGTTTTACTCAACAGACAATGCCCAGTGTTTGAAAAATGTCCAGAAAAAACACTTTAACTGTTTAATTCAAGTTAAAATTATATTTATCAGTAAAAAAAAACAAAAAAACGAATAAAAACTTTTGCGTGTTATGTTTTACCTGGATTCTTTTTCTTCTGCAGTTTTCTTTCTTTAGGTCCACTTTTTGACACGGACAGTTTTTCTCTTCACTTTACTTCCTCTTCCTTCTTTTTGTGTGCGTGACTCTGCAACATTTGCAACATAACGTTGCTGCAGTTTTAACCAAGATGCTAACAGTATAGCATAATGCTAACATAACACTAAAAGATCCTGGTGCATGCTCAATAATCCAGGTAGAAAGATCTAAAGAAGTTAAGTCAGGACCTCTAGACGGATTCTTCTTGTTGAAACGTTTCATCTTTTATCCAGAAGACTTCTTCAGTCTGAGGAGCTGCAGCAATATTGTTCAGCTGATGGTCCTCCTTTTGCTTGTGACCAACAAGTTTGGATCTCACCAGCAAACTGGTTGATCCACTGAGAAGGTGCTGCTTATGTAAGATTGAGTTTGTTGCAGCTCCTCAGACTGAAGAAGTCTTCTGGATAAAACATGAAACGTTTCAACGAGAACAATCCATCCAGAGGACCTGACTTAACGTTTTTAGATAATGCTAAAAGGATAAACTAATTATTTGTTGTTGTTTATAGAAAAAAAAGGCAAGTGGAGTTTCTCTCTCACACGCAGTAACATGAGTAATGTGGTCATTTTGAGAAACCAAAGATCCTGTTTGCTCTACGGGTGATGTTGGCGATACATGAGAGTTTGAGTTATAAACTTATTTTCTATGGTTTTGTTTTAATTTTCTCTGTGCATTATGTTTACTGCTAAAAGTAAACTGTGAAAAGCACTATAGGCATTATTAGATGAATAATTATGGTTGAAGAAATTCAAATAAATAATTTTCTGTCGTTCTAAAAACGAGTTGTGAATCAAAACGGAAGCATCTTTAATCATTCTGTTTTAAACCGGTCACCTTCATGCAGGAACTTTGTGCAAACATGGAGCTGATGTTCTTTCCATTAGCACAGCGTTTATTTAACAGCTTCACGGTTTTTCTTACAAAAAGGGGAAGTAACTTTACAAACATAACTTCAGACTTCAAACCAATGATACATTAAAACAGCATTTCTTTACACGGAAATGAAAATGCATCCAAACAACTGGTCATTATAACTAATCCAACACAGAAACTATACAACACAGAGTCCAAATATTGTCAAATCAAAATACTTTAACAGTTAACTCTTTTCAGTTGTTCTGTATTTTTGCAAAAAAAGTCGTTAGACTGTGGACCACAGGCTATGCAGCTTATTTCATATACTCTATTACATTTTTGAACCATATATTTAAATCTCCTGCCTGTCACATTCAGTGAGTCTGTTTGGTGCTGCCCACACATCTGTGATCCGCTCGGATCTTCTGACGTGAGGTTCTGTGGAGAGATTGTTGACAAGTGATATCTACTTGTAGATATCACTTTGAACATCAGTTTGGAGAAATTGAGTCCATTTCTGATCATAATGAAGAGCTAACAGCTTCTCTGAGCAGGGACAAGACTAAAGTTGATTGCTGCTGTCTTAAAAAAGACCTGAAACCTCCAAAAAGCTATCGTGCCATACTCCCATGAAAGCTATTTTAGTAGCTTGCTCAGTGCTGTCAGTTTTGTATGACATGTTTATTTATATATGTCTATAGTTATTTGCAAGTGGCAGCAGCTAGCTAAAGCATGCCTCTGCATAACCCTCTATGAAGTTTTTGAAACTGGGAGTTATTATGACAACCTACTTTGGTCCCGTTCTCACTTGGACTAACTGGCAGTTTGCAGTCCAGTTAGAAATAAACTCTGTTTTTTCAAACTGAGGTTGTTTAAAGAGCCGTCTAAAATAAGTACGATAATAAATAGCCATAACCTGGCCACAGAACCCCACTTCAAATGATCTGAACTTAATGTCATTAAACTCTCTTGTCAGTAAGTCAAAGCTTGACCTTTACATTCTATGCACATGAAATTCTTGTAAAAAAATTTAATATCTGAGTAAATCCCACTGCAGAGTCAACATGACACAAATCTATAAGCAAAGCTAATTTCAGGTCAAACTGACCACACTGTGATTAAAAACTCACAGGACTGTCAGATATAAGTAAAATCCACACCTTCCTATCTTCTTGAGTCCTCCCCCATTGTGTTTTATAGATGTACATTAGTCCCTTGTTGCTTCACGGTTTGACTTTTGCAGACTCGCTATATCGCGGTTTGTCATTGCACATTAACATATATGTTAAAAAAATGTACAGGACCCATGATTGGTACAGCACTGGAAAAAGTACAGTATACAGTAAAAAGTTACCATAAAAATAAAATACTTCTGAGAGGTGCCAGCATTTTGTAGTTTTTTCCTCAATAAGCCTACACTGTATCCCAACTCATAATGACTACATTTCCCAGAAGCCAACAGGGCCCCGCCCAGAAGCTCTGTTTCCTTCTGCTGAAATACTAGAAGGAAAGTTTTGATCTGATCGGAAAAAGTTTGGCACTTATTAAAGTGACGTCAGCACCCACCATATGCAGAGAATCACATGGAACCCACCAAACCGGAGCAGAACTGGAGCAGAACCAGATCTCCAGACCCATCGGTGAGTCTTGAGAGCTGGTAGCCAGCCCATGAGGACTTCCGAACAGGGACTTTCCACCGTAGGTCCGGGGCTGTTTCTGGAGCCCATCAGGACTTTTTGCATCCAGACTCAGACTCAGTCGATCACCTCCCTTCAAGCGCGATCCAACCGACTGTCTGCCCCCCCCCCCCCCCCCCCCAAATGTGCTTTGGTGCTCAAGGGCTGCACTTAACTGGACCAGAACCGGACCCCCAGACTCAGCAGTAAACCTGAGAGCTTTTAGCTGGCCCACAAGGACTTCCAAACAGGACGCGTGCCGACGAAGGTCCGGCGCTCCATTTGGAGCCCATCAGGATTTTTTTCATCTCTTTCAAACGGCCCATGCGGACCTCCTGCACTGGTTAGTAAAATTTAGTAGCTACATATACAGTACTGTACGTTGTTAAAATTACGTAAGAGTTTAGAACATTGCAAGAGTGTGGGAAGGGCTTCTAAAGCCTTAATATATATATAAATACTAAAATAATTATAATGTCGCTACTTCACAGATTTTCACTTACGGGGGGTGTTGGAACCTAACACCCGCAATAAACAAGGGGCTACTGTATTTATTCATTATATGTGACAAAACCCTTTTTCATGAACACAATGGTTTCTCTTATCTTTTTCCCTGATTAAACTTAAACAATGCAGGAAAAAAAGTATATTTTTACGTATCATCAATGCACATATTTCAGTTCTCCATTAGTTCGTCTACACTGGAGTACAGAGGCACATCCTCCCTCACCCCCACCTCAGCCAACAGGTTCTGTTTTACCTCCTCATCCTCTTCCATTAACACCTCCATCCCATCACTGCCCTCCAACATTTCACTGTCCTCTTCATTGTTGTCTTGACTCTCCTTGGTTTCTCCTTTTTTTTATCTCAGCGTATTCAGTCTCTGTGGCGTCCTGTCTCTTTTCCACATCAGAAGGATTCCTCTCTTTCATTACAGAAAAGTCAATGTCAGAGTACACAGTCTCTGCTGGTTCCATATCAGTATAAGTAACGTCAGAGAACACAGTCTCTGTTGGTGGCTCATTCGTCTCAGCTGCTAACTGCCCATCAGAATCAGCACCTCCTTCTGCTGCTTCTTCGTTCTGGATCTGGTCATCCTGGAAGTCCTGGATCCCATCCTCCTCTTGCAGGTGTTCTGTATTCTGCTGTTGGTTATAGTTTAAGCAAAACAAGAAAAAAAAGTTGAACGTGTTAAAACCAAATAAAGAAAATAATCTTTGTCATTAACAACACAGTCCATGCTCAATAATCCAGGTATACAATCCAACAATTTTCAGTCAGGTCATCTGGACAGTTTTTTTGTTTTTGTTTTTTGTGTTGAAACGTTCCACCTTCCATACAGAAGGTGTCATCAGTCAAGGAAACACACAACAAAACTGATCCCCCAATCAGCTTACTCCAAAGTGGAACAAAACAGTTATGTTGGTGCTAAGATGGTTTCAGCACAAAAAAAGAAACTGTCCAGATGACCTGACTGAAAATTGATGGATTGTATACTTGGATTATTGAGCATGGACTTTGTTGGTTTTGAACCAGTTTGACATGACTGTCGACGAGGGAGAGGGCCGACATCAGAGGAGGGGGCGTGCCAAAGAGACCGTCTTAGCACCAACATAACTGGTTTGTTCCACTGTGGAGTTGGTTTGATTGTAGCTGAGAGTGGACTCCAACACAAAGTACTGTCAAATC